GGGGCGATATGCTGACTCTGTAAACCGCTTAGAGAGGGCTGAAAGCCCTATGAAGCGGTATATAAGTCTAACTGCTATTGCTATTGCTATAATATCATGTCTGCTGGGCCCTTTTGACCAGGCCTGCAATGTGAGTGCCTCAGGTCTGGTCCACTTTTATGACAACACCCAAAAACTTAAAACTGGCCACTTGCTCCACTCGGTCTCCATTGGTAAGCAAGGTTGGGATGTCTGATCTATTCCTTGTATAGTCCACTATAAGCTCCTTGGTCTTATTAGTGTTAAGGACCAAGTTATGGTCTCCACACCACGAAAGCAACTGGTCCACCTCCTATTGATAAGCAGACTCATCCCCCACCCACCCCGGAGATGAGTCCCACCACTGTTGTATCATCTGCAAATTTAGTAATAGTATTATTAGTGCGAGTGGGAATGCAGTCATGCACACTCACACACATGCAAGTATATAGAATAAGGGACTTAACAAAAGTAGTGAGTTCAAAAATTAGTAGGTTGTTCTACAAGAAGTCAAAAAAAAAAATTGTGAAAGGCATACTGGATAGGACTCAAGTAATTTGAGATGGCCAAATTGTTTATCCACTCAAGCCTATACTTGTTCCATCCCGTTCAAAAAAAAAAACCCCTTTGGGTTTTTAATTGCCTTTTAAGATTGATTTTATCGTACAGCACTCAGAATCTTTGCAGAGCTGGGCGGAATAATAGATGTATGTAATGCAGAGCAAATAACCTCTAGAACTAAAGAAAAAATCAAAACCAGTTTTGACAAGAGAGATCAAAAGGGGGGGAAATCAAAGTGATTACAAACAGGATTTTAACCATTTCTGAAATAGAGATCAACTGATCATTTGGCCGATGTAGCAACCTAACCCTTATCCCAGTTATAATTTTTGTTCACCAGATTTTTATCCCATCTTTATTACTTTATAAGTACCTCAAGGCGGCGAACGTACCCAATGCCCCTTCTTCCTTCTATTTCCTTCACTACAACCCTGTGAGGCGGGTTGAGCAGAGAGAGAATGACTGCCCCAAGGTTACTGAGCAAGACTTCATGCCTAAGGCAGAACTAGAACTCACAATCTCTGGGTTTTTAGGCCAGTACCTTCATCATTACACCAGTGGTGGGATTCAAGTAATTTAACAACCGGTCCTCTGCCCTAATGACCAGCTGGGTGGGCGTGGCTTGGTGGTCNTTACCATCAGTAAGTCCCGCCCAGGAAGCCCTGGGGCCAGTATTTCCGTTACTAAGTAAGGGGTACCCAATTCCATGACCTTTTCCCTATAGTTGTTAAGCAAATTGTTGCAGTTATTAAGTGAATCACACGGTCAGTCCATGAATCCAGTTTCCCCTTTGACTTTGGTTGTCGGTGGCCAACTGGGAAAATGGTGATTATGTGATCAGTGGTGAAATTCAAATTTTTTTACTACCAGTTCTGTGGGTGTGGCTGGGTGGCCATGGCAGGGGAAGGATACTGAAAAATCTCCATTCCCACTCTGGGGCCAGCCAGAGGTGGCATTTGCCGCTTCTCCGAACTACTCAGAATTTCCTCTACCGGTTCTCCAGAACCTGTCAGAACCTGCTGGATTTCACTCCTGCATGTGATCCGATGCTGCAACGGTCGTAAGTGGGATGCTGCAATTGTCATAAACATATGCAAGTTGCCAAGTACCAGAACGGTCACTGAATCAATGCTTGTAAATCAAATTAAGCACCCATTAATTCCTGACCCTCCAGTTTCTTGTTTCCCACCCTCACGTATAATCTGCCACATTTCCTCCATGTACAACTGACTTCCAGGTTTCCCATGACACTTCCAGCTCCCCTTCCGATGGCGGCTCCTGTGGTGAGACAGGACGTGGCAGCTGTGAGGATACAATCAAAGCCTCGTCCTTTTGAATGCATATTGCATCTCTCGCTCGGTTTAATATATTTCTCTGCATCCACAATCAGAAAAGGCCTCTTCAGTTTTACACATCCAACACACCTGAAAAAGCTGCAGTCGGGGTTGCCACTTTGACTTTTTTGACCTCCCTGGGCCATTCCTGCCATTTCCGTATAACAAAGTCTACAGAAGTGGAGCTTTGGAATTAACGTTCCTGCTTTTTTCTTTGAGAAGCTTTTATTTCTTGCAGCAGCCCAAACAATACCTGCTCCTTTTTTAAACCAGCATTTACAGTCCTTAAAATTTACAGTCCTTAAAATTTCCCCAGTCATTTCCCTATTTTTAGCAAACTTTCCACCAAAGTACAGAAATACCACCCACTTGCGGAATCCGAGATCTTCTGCACACTGTGTTCTGCTTTAACCAGGCCTCTTTGGGGGTCAGGTCTCTCCCAAAGTACCTCTAACGGGTTCCAATTTGGAGAATTTACCTCTGGAAATTGCCAGACTGCCCCAGAACAGCCTGATCTGGAGGAAATGGGACAAAAATAGTGTTCCTGTAACAATAAAAGGATAGTGAAATATATGTGATATTGTCATGGGAGTTTGCTATAAATTGCCTGGACAGGGAGAAGACACACCTGAGGACTTTCTGTGCCAGATGACCAGACTTTCAGTGTGGGACACAATTTCTGGAAAGGACACAGAAAAGAGCAGCAAAAATGATTAGGGGGCTGGAGACATATGAAGAATGCTTGCAAGAAGTGGGCCTGGCCAGTCTAGTGAAGAGAAGGACCAAGGATGATATGATAGCAGTCTTCCAATATTTGAAGGCTTGTCACAAAAATGAAGGGGGCAAACTATTTACCAAGACACCAGAAACAAAGGATGAAAACTAATCAAGGAGAGAACCAACCTAAAACTAAGGAGAAATTTCCTTTCAGGGAGAACAATCAACCAGTGGGAAGGGTTGCCTTCAGAGGTTGTGCGTGCCCCATCACTGGAGGTTTTCAAGAAGAGACTGAACAGCTACTTGTCTGAAATGTTTAGAGTCACTTGCCTGTGCAGGGAGTTGGACTAGATGACCTCCAAGATCCCTTCCATCTCTGCTATTCTATGTTCTAATGACCAGGGGAGATTTCAATTTTCTTGATATCTGCTGGAAACCTCTCTGATTCACTAAGGAGGGAAGTTCCAACAGACTCTGACCCTCATTTGCTGATTGCTTCATCTATCCCAAGGTGAAGATAGGAGGGAGGGGGTGTCTGCTGCCCTGAAGCAACCTCTCACCCACAGTGAAACATTGGTTAAAGGAATAAAGCTGACCAGAACCTTGG